TAAAAAAAATTCCACTTTTGAAACTCTAAGGTTTTTCTTGAACATTTCTGAGATTAATCTAAAAAATTCAGACTTTTCAAGCTCAGAAATTTCCACGTTTTTTCTAAAAAAAAAAATTCTCAGATTAATCTCTAAATTTCTAAAGTTTTTGGCGTAAATTTACTCCCTTTTTCAGGAAGCTGAGTGATGTACCAAGTACCAAAGACAGAGTAATAATAATAAAGTTATTAAAGAATAATTAAGCGGAGGTGTGAATCAACCAGCTGGAGTCCATCTTTTATAAACCAGCTGTGAGTCAGCAGAGAAACCCGACCCGTAATCCCTGCAGAGTACTGTTGGCCTCATGAACCCGCAGCGGTCTGCTTTCCACCCTGCTGACCTCCTGGGCTCTTTCCCAGGACTTGATAAGTAAACTGCTGATAGGTCGGCCTTACAGAACCATGACCTCCACTCAGGTTCACCGAGGAGGAGGAGCACAAATCGTCCTCGATCCAAACCAGATAACATCTTTCCCCAACTACATTCTCACTCTTCCTTTGCTGAATAAGGTTCTGTAAGATGAGTAAAAGTATGCAGGGCTCAGTCCAATGTACAGCTGTTTTGTTTACACATAATAAGAAGACGTGCATTGACCCCAGTGACCTGAGGGGAAGCAGAATGTAGCGTTTCAGGTTCTAATTTAGTTTGCAACACAGCAACATACAGGACAAATAACTCCCACACCTAAGGGCGACGTAGAGACCAATAATCCTAAAAGTCATGGTTTGAGAATGTGGGACATGTGCACAAAGAGAACATAAAAACTCGAGATTCGAACCCAAAACCTTCTTGTCTTTCTCAATAAACAATAAATCAATTAATCGCATTTAAAACAAGCTTGGTTTATCGTTTTGCTCTTTTCTCTCTTTCTACCAAAAACTGGATGATAAAATCTTCGATCTGTTGTTTTGGTCTCAAATAGATTATTTTTTTTACTAATCCCTTTTATTTGTTGTTTCTGTTGTTTTGCTCATTTATATAAAATGCTTTCCAGTTCCAGTGTTAAATATTTAATAGAAATGAAAGTTTATTAATCTTTCAGAAGGTATACCTTTGTATTACTTTAAACTGGTCTGAAAAGAACAATATTATCATTTATCACAATAACTTTGGGACAATTTATCATCAGTGCCACCAATCGAAATCCAACTTGGTGAGATTCTTCACTATTTGTATTTGTAAGGAAACACAGCTCTATCCGTGTTAAGGTAATAATGTAGTTTTTATTTACCACTTTAAAAGGACTTTACATTAGTAAACAAGTGGAATGCACCTCCTAAAAACATAACGGACTTTAATTAGGACACTTAGAAACAAACAAAGTGAGTATAGCGGTGCAGAAGTGTAGGGAAGATTGATCTAAAAGCTATTTTTATACAAATAAAGAAACAGCAACAAAACTAATCTGTTTAATATAAGATAAAACAACTTGAATTTGGAATAAATACTTTGTGCGTTTTATGTTTCCGCAGTGAAAACGGCCATGTTTGTCAGTAACTTGTAATTCTTCCAACATGGACAAGAAACTGGATGAAACGCCTCAGCAGAAAAACTTTAAACTGCCAATAAAAGTATTTGCTTTTTAATTTGTCTGATGTAGAACCGTTGAGTTTTACATACATAACAGGACGATCTGTACAGAATTTAACTCTAATCTTTTCTTGCTGTTCAAGAGGCTGCAAGAACCCTGAGATTATAAAGATATTCAGACGTTTCATATGCAGTAAAGTGAAGCGAGTGTTTGTCTTTTATAAAAGGTGGTAAACTGAGTCGCCTTGTTCCGGATAAAGTTAGTTTACCTTTGGTCCAGGAAGCTGGCGTTCCAACAGGCCGTCGAGGAGAGCTGGATCACAATGTCACTGCAGACACAGACAAATACGCTTTTTTAAATGATGAGTACAAAAAAAACAAACATTTTATCAAATCACAAATAAAATGTTTATTTTATTATAAGGAGATCTGCAACTTTTACAACCTAAAGATTAGGTTTTACTCTCAGCCCATCCAAAAACAACTCGCTTAGAGTCGCAAAAGTCAAACAAGTTTTTGGAAAAAATTTTTTAAAAAGAACAGAAAAGAGAGCCTCTAATTTCAGATAAATGTCTACTATCTGACATTTGTTGTCATTTTTAAAGAACCACCATTTATTTCTATTTTTAGGATTTAAAATAAAGAAGAATATAACATTTAGCAAAAAGAAAACAGCAGGAGTAAACTGTTTTTACAAGAGTTTTAACTGAAACTGCTTTTGATAGTCATGCTTTTATTTTTATTATTTTATGCCTTGATGCTTTTAAAACTGAAATCTATTTCTCTAGATGAATTCAAATGTTGATGCTTGTAAACGGTGCTGCTATACTGACAAAGACTGTAGATCTCAACAAGTTTTTCATTTTAATCTAGTTACAGATTATTATTTCTGTGGGATGGAAAGTTATGTGAAAAATAAAAATTAAAAAAAACACAACCAACATAAACGCATGAAAAACAGATCTGAAAGCGAATTGTTTGCACTTTACATCCTTCTTTGTGGAAACTGAATGAAAATATTGCAGGAATAAACTTAAAAAAATGTTAAACATGCCTTTGTTATTAAATATAAATTAAAACATTAGTTGGCTGCACTTGTGGCTCCGCGGGCTGAAGTTTTTGTTATCAACTTTTAAGGATTTTTCAAGCAGTTGGCCGTTCATGTTCCCACTTACTTTGCCACAGCAGAGTCTGTGTTGTACATCATTTTTAATCTCCATGAGTTTAACTGTTCGTAGTTGATCGGGGCGAGGCTTTTACTGACATTAACCACTCTGAAGTCCTCTGTGGCAGCAGAACTCTGCCGAGAACAAGAAGAAAAACCGTATTAAACACAAAAAAGGGAAACGGGAACCTGATGCGCTCCAACCACGTAACACTGAAAATTTCTGATCATTTTTTTCAGCGAATGTAGTGCAAAGTTCATGCAAATGAGAAAGTTAAAGCATAGACACTACTGCCCCCTTGTGGTGAAACACTGAACATAATAATGTTCACTGGGGAAAAGCTGACCCACTCCTGTCTGAAAAGATTAAATAGGATGCATCTAAACTTGGTTATAGAAACATAATGAAATATTTCAGGACCAACATCCCTTTTTTCAATGTTTTTGAGAGCTCTCAAGAAATGTATTATCTGCACTATCATGTTTATACATAATGATGTGAAATTTTTATGGCCTTAAATTCAAACAGAAACCAGACTGTTTTGTCTACAAAGAAAAATAAAGTAAAGTTACCAACAAACTGGTAAAACAGTATGCTGCAAGTTCATCATTTATTAAACTGTGTGAGTAAATAAACAAAATAAACTGAAAGTGTTCTGCTTTAGTTGTTATTTTTAATGTCTGCCAGTATCTGCAGATTATTTTATTAAATCAAATTAATAACCAGCCAAATTTCTCCTATGTGTGATTTTACCCAGAATAATTAGTTAAAAAGATTTTTTTTTTTCTGGGTGTCAAAGGCAAATGAATAAGAATGTGTTTCACTGAAGATTCTGCTTGGCTGGATTATCACCGTCTGAACTTCATCCACCAAATACATGGAACTGAAGTAACTTTTTAGGCCCACAACCCCAGTTGTTGTGAGAAAACTAGCAATAGACAGGCCTTGCTGTAAATCACAAAGAGTAAAACATTAATTGATTATTTGTAGAAAACGTCACTGTTATGTTATGCACGGCACAGTAATACAAAATATATTATATTATATTATATTATATTATATTATATTATATTATATTCTTTGGACACAGTTGTTGAGGAAAAGCTTGGTTCTGATGCCTGAATAAAAATAAGCTAGAGCTGAAATTCAAACATTTCCTTTTTCTGAATGAGAATATTTATCACAAACGATCATTTGCGCTTTTAAACGCCTGGATAGGATACCGGACTGCTGGATCTCCAACCGTCTGTTCTCAGATATTTCTTCTGACTTTCTCATCCTCACTGGACAAACTGCGATTTATATCTTAGTCTTTTGAGCAACAAGAAGTATGAACATCATGAAACATGCCTTTTATGTTACACAGGACTGAACCAACTCAGAGTATCAATAATTACAGATATAAGAGTTTTTTTTTTTTTTGTTTTTTTTTTTGAAGAAATAAGTTTTAGGAGAAATGAGATCTTAAATGGCATACCTGTTCGTTGGAGTACAATAAGAAACTGTGGTCTCCTCCACATATGATTTTTATAACTGTATATTGCTTTGAATCTGATGGAAAATAGAAACAAAAGAGAAACTTAACATTTGATAAGAGTAATTCAAATTACTAAAATAAACCAAAATTAAATCTGAAGAGTTTTTTTTAAAGGTTTTTCCATTTTAAAAATATATTTTCTTCCAGAAATCATTCTTTGTGAACAATGTGATATTTTTGGTTCATTTCAGAAAAGTCAAACAGACAAAGGGAGGCTTTGTTTGTGTTCTAACAATTTCCTAAAAACGACTGGCTGTTTAGCCAACAGTTTGGAAATCTGTCTTTGTAAACAACCCATATCAGAAAAGTCAAGGTGAAAGTAAATTAGAGATGTCATCGTTTCCATTCAACCTGAATGGAAAATAAAAAAAAATTAAATAAAAAAAAAGAAATTGTTGAATTAAATGTCTTTCCAGCTACTTTAAGGACCTTCAGAAATCCTGGAGAATTATTGATAAAATCAACTTTAGAGCTTTTGTAAAACTATCTGTTTGGAAGGAAAATACACTGCAAAGAAATTAGGAACAAATCCAGACTTACAGTCTTTGCAAAAGAAAAAGAAAAGAAGTGGATTTTCCCTCCACTTTCCTCATCGCTATGGCAACCAGCACCCGAAAGTGTTCGGTGGAGCAGTTTGTCTGAGCATAGAGACAAACCTCGTGTTTTCTCACCTCTTCTCTGCAGGTTTCCAGTCAGGAAGCTGGACTTGACGGGAAACGGGCTTCTTGAATCCCCCAAGATTCCCGTGCCCAGCTGGCCGTGGCTGTTGCAGCCGAATGCATAAACCATGCTGGACGACGGGACTAAGGCCAGAGTGTGGTGCCTGGACAAAAAAATAAAAACATCAGCTTCTATATTCAGACAAAGAAAAAGAAAACCCCTTAACAGTTGAAAAGCTTTAATGGAATGCTATTAAAACCACTTTGATTACCAACGTAAATTAATGGCGCACTAATATTACAATTTTGGCGAATATCAAAATCCAATGTTAACACATCCATACATGTAACAATAAATTACCAAGCCTGTCCCTGGCCAAAGTCACAATTAACTAGATGGAAAACTACTTGTTGCCCAGCTTGGAGCCCAGCCTGGAGCCCAGCCTGGAGCACAGCCTGGAGCCCAGCCTGGAGCACAGCCTGGAGCCCAGCCTGGAGCTCAGCCTGGAGCCCAGCATGGAGCCCAGCCTGGAGCTCAGCCTGGAGCCCAGCATGGAGCCCAGCCTGGAGCCCAGCCTGGAGCCCAGCTTGGAGCCCAGCCTGGAGCCCAGCTTGGAGCCCAGCCTGGAGCTCAGCTTGGAGCCCAGCATGGAGCCCAGCCTGGAGCCCAGCCTGGAGCCCAGCCTGGAGCCCAGCTTGGAGCCCAGCTTGTGCTCCAGTTCACAGCACCACCCAGAACTGTTGGATGATTCTAATCATTTATCAGTGTCAGATTTCTCTGTTGCTGATTTTTCTTGAGAAGGACACTGAGAAGTTTGGGAAACACATATAATGACAAAATAAGCTGAACAGCTTACAGTCTGGTTGTTGTGTCTGGTTGCAACAGATTTACATTCATAACTGATGAAAACCCTGAAGTGGCTTTAAAGTGACAGTACCTGCCACAGGCGATCTGGGAAACCTCAGTGCCCATCAGCTCCAGGACTCGCCTCGGTAGAAGCTCATTGTTGGTGGAGCCGTGACCCAGCTGACCCCATGAGCCGTCGCCAAACGTAAATAGGCCTCCGTCCTGCCAAGAACAGAATGAACAAAAAGAACAGAAAGAACAGATTTTTTTATTGCTGTTTGATAAACACAGAGATCCTGATCTAGACTATTTAGTCAAAGTCGGTTTCTGAGCTTTAAAGGTGGATGGATGAACAAACAGACAAACAGATTGATGGGGTGATGAATGGTTGGATGAAAGGACCAATGGATGAATGTTGGATGGACGGACAGATGGATGGATGAATGGATGAACGATTGGAAGGACGGCCAGACGGCTGGTTTAAATAATGGGGGTCAGTGAATAAAGTCTGGGAACCAAAGTATTTCATTTTTGCCATTTCTCTTTCTTCTTTTATTTGTGAAACATTTGAGTTTCTGGACATTTGAGGGATTTTCTACCTTTGTGAGGGCCGCGGTGTGCTCATCTCCACAGCAGATATAAACGACCTTCTGTGACCTCAGAAACTTGATGTGGCATGGGACGGCTCGATCTGGAGAAACAGTAGAGTTGTGAAAAGTTAGCAGACAGCAGAGAAGGAAACCAAAGGAAGAGAAATCTGATTCTCCATCTTAGCTTCAGGTCCAAAAACACTCCACTGTTTAGATCACTCTTCTCTTTTCATCAATGGCTGTTTGTAACCAGCTGATTATTACCTTGTTTGTCATTCAGTCCAAGTTGCCCTGCCCTGTTTTTGCCCCATCCGAAGACGGCTCCTGACAGGGAGAGGGCGAAACTGTGGTCTCCTCCAGCAGTTATCTGAGCCAGGGGAATCCCTGCCAGGGACTTCAGGGGATGAGGCGTCAGTTTGCTCGGCTCTCCTTTACCCAGGCCCAGCTGGCCGCTGGTGTTCTGACCCCAAGTGAACAGCTGCCCATCTGATGAGGAAAACATGATTTTATCAATGTAAACATTAAGGCGGGACTTTAACGCATTCATTTTGATTAATTAATGACATGGAAAGATATAAATGTTCCAGCCGGAACGTTTTTGTTTGCGTGTTTCTGGTACTCCAGGAAATCTGACGCACAAGCGACATCTGCCAACAGCAGCGATGGACGACAAAGCCGCTTCGCTTGGCCCACTGGGAGTTCATTTCTGCTTCTAAAAACAATCTGACTGGATGCTGGAAAAGGTTATTACTGTGTCCAGGTGGTGCTAAAAAGAGTTAGCCGAGTGAAGCAACTCAAGCCTAAAAGAGCATCGTTGGAAATATTATGTTATCATTCTTACATGTGTGTAGATTATTGATCTTACCATAGCATCTTATATTACTATAGATTTTAGAAGTGTTGGCCTCTCACTGTCTGTGTTAAAACTTTTGACTGCTGTGTTGAAGACTTTCTCAGACTGATAACATCCCTCCGCCTGTAGGAGAAATCGCTCCCAAGGGAAGAGACGAGATGACCTTGTGTGTGTAGAACTTGTTGATAACTTCTGTCTATCGCTCCCTTCCCTGAAAATAAAAGACGAGCTCTAACTGAAGGTTTTCAAACGCGCGGTGGGCAGCTCGCTGGAGCGGCCCGCTGTGTCTTCTCCTGTCATGAAAGCTTGGTTTGAAAACTCACATAAGTTGTCTGTGGTTCTTTTTATGTAGGTTCATAAAATACCTACCATATGTCTTATTAAATTATTAAATGATTTAGCAGTAGAAAGAGTTTTTGAATTAAAAATCCTGCNTATTTTGTCAATATAGGGCTTAGATTAAAATGTGATTAATTGCAATTAATGAATTACACAATCTGCAATTAATTCAATTAAATTTTTTTATCAAGTCCTACCAGTAGAAAACATTAAAACAGTTAATTTATACAGTTATGGTGCAAGAAAACATATACTCTACCTTCTAGAGTATCATAAAAATAATGTAGCTTTTACTAGTTTCTAAACTTATTGTCCAAAAACACCAAATATCAAACTTTTTCATTCCTGAACAAGTTCAGGAATTAACTTGTTCAAGCTCCCATCACATTTATGCTAAGGCCTGGGCTTAGACTAGGCCATTACCAAAATGTTAATTCTTGTCTTTTTCAGCCATTTTGTTGTGGATTTGCTGTGTTTTGACAACTTAATCTGTTTTTGCTGATATGCTGTGTTTGGTTTTCTGGTCAAATTCAAATCCCAACATTAAACCATGCCAATGGTTTAATGTCTCTCTTTGTCGATGATAACCCTCAATAATTTGGAAATTACTCTTGACATTTGGGCAAATGTGCTAAAATAAATTTGGGAAGGAATTTGACTACAAGCAGTAGGAATATGCAGGTTTTGCTGCTATGGAGACACATTTTTTCCCACCTCTAGAAAGTGCGATGCAGTGCTGGTTCCCACACATCACTTGGGAGATGCTGTGGTCACAAAGCCTTTTGACCAACCTGGAACAAACAAGGACAAAAATACAATTCATACCTTTTGCTTCATATCTTTTTTTTAAGAGTGAGAATAAACACAGTCAGTAAAACAATGCAACACTAACAGTAGGGGTGTTAAAAGATGAAATAACTCAAAACCCAAATCAATAAAAAGGCACAAATAAAACAGTAGCAAATTAGAAATTTCCAAATGAAGGAGGAATTGTTCAACTCTATAACCAGTGTTCACATTATTGTTGTATTTGCACAGTTTTATTGCCGCTTATCAATAAAATCTCTTTTAAAGCACAAATACACTTGCAACGTTTTGTATATTTTTTTAAAATTATCCTACTAATTTGCACATTTCTTTGGATTGAAATGTTATTTTTAATAACTAAACAGTATTTCATGTTTAAATTTTGCCTTTTTTGTACAGTATGCGATTCTAAATTATGATTTTTATACATTTATCTTTGTGTGGATCTACATGCTGTTACACCAGAATGTCCCCACTAAGGGACAATGAACAGATGTTTCTGTTCTACTCTTTGTGTTCTTTACAAGACACGTTCTATCAAATGGAAAGATTTAAACTGTACATTTGAGCAGCTCAAAATTTGTTTTTGTTTTTTTTTTAAAGATTTTCAATATTAAACAACAAAATCATTAAGTTAATGTACATTTCCGTGATTACAGCTAAAATCCAGAAACCAGACCCAAAACCAGGGTGAGGTGTTGAACTCGGACCTGAACTTTCAGAGACACATAAAGACAGTTACAAAGTCAGTTTATAAGTCACTGAACAGTTTAGCCAGCACCACAATGCTGCTGTATCAACCTCTCAGACCACTCAGGTCTTCTGCTTCTGGTTCTGCTCTGCATCCCCAGAACAAAACACAGAGAACCAGCATTCAGCTTCTATGCAATACAAATCTAGAACAAACTTACAGAAAACTGGTCAGAGTTGGTTTTGAACCTTCATAAAAGAAACATTGACCAATCATCAAATCATTGACGGTTTTGGTGACGGCACTCATCAAAGTCTAATGTTTGTTCCTGGTTTTCTCAATCATTGGCTGAATGGGCTTTTTATGACTTTATGTTTTTATGATGGAAGGCACGATGAACTGCCATGTTGATGAAATGTTCTATAAAATAAACTTGATTGATTGAGTGATTGATTTTTGTTTTGCAGAAGCTTCAGTCTATGACCGATGTGCCACCCGGTCACCTCGGGATTCGAACGGCCGCCTCCACTGTCCCCAGGCCAAGCTGCCCGCCTTCTCCGGCTCCCCATGCGAACACCTGGCCCTGCTCATTGATGGCCATCGAATGCGCCCAGCCACACGACACCATCGTTATCTTCTGGGTATCCAGAGCCCCAACCAGCTCTGCGGGGAGAACAGAGTCTCATCAGGCTACAAGCAACCTGCCGTCACGGTCTGGGCACTACTTATATGATTACATTCTTGAATTGTGGTTTAATTTTTTGAATTCAGTAATAAAAAATATTTTAAAAGCAAAATATTCCTAATTAGCGTTGGCCAACATTGACTTAAAATTTTATCTATCTTATCAGTTATTGTGAGAACAGTAAAAATGATTTAATATTTCTTTTTTAGGTAACTGCACGGCTGTGACTGCATGACAGCCATGCAGTCACAGCAATGCAGCAGTCAGCTCCTCTGCCTTCTCCCAGCGCAATCTAGAAACAGTCAGTCAGAGCCAGGAGACGGGTCTGAACGCTGTCAATCATGCTCATGTGCATTACCACTAAAGCTAGCTAGCATAGCCACCAATGACAGCAGATAAATGGTTTTCCTGGAACGGTAAGTTGTTTCTCCACGATTACCACGTTTAGCAACGTGTTCACCACGTTGATTGACAGCGCTAAGACCAGCCTTCTGACTGATTTGTTGCTTTTAAATGGGAGCAGTGAATTTCTTCAGATGACAATAGTAGCTCAGAGAGGAGCTGGAGGAGATCAATCTTTTTACAGATTATCTGTTTATATTATGATTTCACAACATGGTGAGTGTTAACAAATATTTAAAAGATTAAGTTTTTTATAAAAGCTACATTCTGCAGCTTTAAAGAAACTCAAGAACTGTGAAATCAGCAGTCCTGTTAAACCTCTTCAGTGTAAACAAGGAATTACAAAAGTTAAAAAGACAAAAATTTAACACTATAAATTCCATACAGTTCCTATTAAAGTCTTTGGAAAATGTAGAAGTACTACATCTCTACATTTGAACTTGAAGAACAGTATATAAACATGCTAAATCCTCCCAAACAAACCAAAACGTTCAGCCTGTCCTGCAGCCTTTCTGGGCTCCCTCATAAACCCAACCCATGTGAGGAATTTAGAAATCCTGCTGCTAGAAGATTGTTCTATAAAAGCTATGATAGATGCATTTAAACTGTTCCAGAGCGTTGCTATTCACTCAGAAGTAGAAGCAGGAAGTTCAGGAAATGAGAAGAAAAGCAGAGCCGATAATTACAAGCAGTTACTCTTTGTTTCCTGTGTCGTTTTCAGCTGCAGACTTTAACAAAGAAACTTAGCAGAAATGGATGAATCCTAAATATGCAACAGCTTCTGATGTTCAAAAAGAAATTCTGTATAAATTATAATAATGTACTACTATTATAATACAGCCTACCACTCCAGTTTCTGCTTTAGATAGGAAAGCTTTCACTAACAGGCTCTCAAACATGCCTGTACAAATGGTGCCTCAGGGTTCCTTCACAGTTTTCAAGGAAATTTCCAAACTTTCTCAGCAGTTTGCAGCACTAACTAAAGTTTACTGTGAATTTGGGTGTGGCTTTAAATACACCTACATTCCCAGGGGGAAAATCATATGTGAAAGAAAGAATTTGTTTTTAGTTCGCACCACATACTTTCATCCATAACTAGCCATAGTTGTCCACAAATTCTGCAGGACAAAAAGTTGTCCCGGAAGTTATTGTGATAAACGATAATATTGTTGTTTTGAGACCATTTTCATGTAATATGATGATTATAGCATAGTAATGCAAGTACACCGTCTCAAGCTTTAACTCCTAATGAACGTTTAACACTGGAGCTGGAAGACATTTTAAATATGGAAAAATAAACAAAACAACTGAAACAACAAAGAAAGTGAATTATGAAGTCTCTGTAAACAAAACTGTCCTTCAAAAAAAAGACTAGTTGAGACCAAACTGAAGACTTGGGTCATCCAGGCTTTGGTAGAAATAAAGAGAAAAACAGAAAACTAGTAACTCGCGCAAATAGAGATTATTGAGCTTGTTTTAATTTATTATGCAATTAACTGGTTTACAGTTTATTGTGACAGGCCCATGAATAAATAAAAATCTTTGCTTCTTTCCATGTTTCCCCACATTCTTCAGTTGGCTTTGCTGCCTCTCCACAGTGTCTCTCTGCAGGATGATGCAGCTTAAAGCACTGAAGCTGCGGAACAAAAGCTTACCTGGGGACGTCCCATCTCTGTTGTGGCCCAGCTGTCCACAGCAGTTGGAGCCACACGTGTAAACGCTGCCGTCGTGCAGCAGGAACAGCGTGTGCTGCCCTCCGCATGCGACCTCCTTCAGTCCCCGCCCGCTGAACACATGGCAGCTCCTGGGCTCAAACGCGGGGTTCCTCTCTGCGCCGATGCCCAGCTGCCCATCCCTGGCGTTCCCCCAGCACAGCATGCTGATGAAAGGAGAGGAAATGAGCAGCAGTCTGAAGAGGCGGAGAGAGTGAGGGCCAGATGGAGGGAGACGATTCTGTTCAAGCCCCAGATCAGCCCCGCTTTCTCCTCTTCATGTAAACTCCAACCCTGGGAAAACAGCAGGAACGAGTCATCATCTTCAGTGGGATATCGCCTGCTAGTTAACGACGGCTCTTCAGTTAGAAAGCAGGGATTTGATTTAGGAACGCTTGTTGATAGAATAAAGCAGAAACATCAGTTTTAAATTAATGAAACCAGAATGAATTATGATTTCAACTCCATTTCTACGTTGTTACCAGATGTTTAGTTAAAAGCTGTTAATGTCATATGTTAAATTTTTGTGACTGCTTATTGTTTATTAGCAAATATTGGGGATAGAAACATCACTGCAACATACAAAATCTTACCAAGATTTACTTCTCGTTTCTATTGCAAATATATAAATCCGCTTGAAATAAGACAAAACTAACTTACATGTAACTTTTCAGCAAGATATAGGAGCTTGTTTTTAGTCAATAATTCCCTAATATTGATGGTAAATTATTTCACTTATAACATAGGAAAAATACATTGTTATTAATCAAAATATAGTGGAAATAATACTCTTTAAAGCCAATATTAAATAATTACTGACTTGAAACAAGCTTCTATACCTTGTTGAAAAGTTACTTGTAAGACAGTTTTGTCTTGTTTCAAGTGGACTAAGATATTTGCACTAGAAATTGGACCAAAAATACTTTGTAAGATATTGTGTTTTTACAGTGTACACAAAAACAGGAGTGCATCAATTGTAATTTTCTGGCAGAATACAATGTTCACATTCTTGCAGAGGTAGATAAGTATCGGCCGATTTCCCAGAATTAAGGAAATCTGGGCCAACTTCTCTGTGAAAAACAAAACAAATACTCCCAGATACTGTTTTTACTTTAATAGATTGAACTACATCAATATATATTCTCTGTGGTCTTACACATTAACTCACAAGCTGTTGGCTGCAGCTTGCAAAGCAGCCAATCCAGAAGCAGCATTTATTTTTTTGGTGCTGATTGGCTGTACTTCCAACAGTAGCTATGACTGGATGACTGAGGATGTGCTTCTGTGCTGTCCTAAGACAGTTACCACTGAAAATATATTTAGTGTTTGAGGCAGTTGTAGGAATAATTGTAGCCTTTTTGGTAAATAAAAGCACTTAAATAATTTATTACATGTTATATCTTTTGGTTTTGACTCGTTGTATACAATAAAACTTTGGTATTTTTACTCAAGATTATCATACAGTGAAAACTTGGTTCTGGGAGTTTCCTAAAGCAAACAAAGTGTAGCTTTCTGCTCATATCTACTATAATTTAAGATACGAAATTGTGGATTCTGGCAGGTTTAATGGCATGAATGGTTTGTTAACTAACCAAAACAAATGCTTTATTCTTTTGATATAAAGAAAATTTCTGGAGGCATTTTGGGGAACTTATCATTTTGGTAACTTATCATTGATATTATCAAAATAAACCAAAAACAGAGGCTACAGTCCCTCGCAACCGTCACGGGTTCAATTCCCTACCCATGAACTGGATGTTCTGCACTTCCTGAAAAGCTATGTATTAAGTACCAAAAAAAATCTTTAAAAAAATTATCAAGAAAATAAATGAAAGATCAATTTCTCTGTAATTTTCACCATGATTTAAATGCTTTGATTTCAGCTTTAACTGCAGTAAAATCAATCCATAAAAAATAGCAACTGCCACTAGTTTCAGTTATATAGAAACCGTCATCGCAACATCCTCGTCCTCAAAAAACAAGCCTCTCTAACATCAATCTGTCTCAGTTCATGTTTATTATCTCAGAGGATTATCACAGCACTCCGCTTGGCTAGCTGCTAACTTTAGCTCTTTATTTGTGCATTATAACCCCTCCAACTCTCAGTCATAACAGATTTTACGCAAACAAATGAATTATAAACAACTATAATGAAAACATCTGCTTATGCCCACCGATATCGCTTTATTTTAGTAGTAAAAACCAAAATAGAACCAGCTAACCAACCAGCTAACTGAGCTGCGAGCTACAGCGGGGCTGAAAACCAGCAGAAATCTTAATATCGCTTCTGTTTGAAACCTCACCTGGAAGGTTGCTATGAGAGAAATAATGTTTTCTAAATCGCACAATCGCTTTTCTCACCTTGACAAATGCATGCTGAGAAAGGGGCGTTTGGCTTCTGGTGTGCAGCTCAGAAAACAAACGAGGAAGTGCTATAGCTGCTTACGTCATCGAACGCCTCAGAAGTTGGAATGATGTGATTGGTCCGCTGAACCGGAAGTTCAGGCGTTATTAAAAACTCTGAAATCTTGTGGCCTTTATATTGATTTCAATTCTGCTTTACTCAAATCCTAAAACCGTTTTATTCATCACATAGTGAGATTATATGTTGTTATATAATCCAAATATCTTCGAGAAACGATGCCTTCTGTTTTGGGACTTGGGGTCATAGTTCAGGTATTATTATTATTATTATTATTATTATTATTATTATTATTATTATTATTATTATTATTATTATTATTATTTAATGCTAATTAGCTGCTCCACGTTGTAAAAACAGGGTGGGTAATGTTTCCACAGTTACCCATCAAAGCAACCAAAATATGTCACAAATATTTTTTAATACAAGTTTACATAAAATGCTGCTTCATAAATTATAATTTAAGCTCCAAACTATGATGGGTACTACCTGCTAAATATTACATTTATGCTGTGAATTTAAGGGGAAAAAAGTTTATACTCCATATAGTATGAACATTGCACACAATAATACTGCCATGACTATATTTACAATATATTTTGCAGCACACCCCATATCAGTAGAAGCAATTGGGGCTTAGCTACGTCCCCCAATAGGTATTAGGATTATCAGTCCAACAGTGTGCAACAGATTTAGGACCCGTATGGGTCCCACTTTTTACCCAAAGTCTTCTCTCACTCAACATACTGTGGATATAAAATGCCACATTCTGCAGAAAGTTTTCAAAGCAGAGGGATGTCAGTGTGAAGAGGAATCAGTCAGGAGGCGGGTACAAAAGACAATTAGATGTACAATAGAAAATAGTGAAGATAATTATAAAGTATGGGACAACAGAGCAGGATTTTGCTTCAAAGTAGAAGAAAACAGAAAAGAAACTGGGCAAGAGGTCTGCAGCAACAAAAACACACAGCAATGTCTGGAAAGTGCTGACTGTATATTACAAAAGTTTCCTTAACCTGTGAAGTAGGATGTCATGACATGATACTAGTAAATATGATTACAAATAAGTGTTGGAACGTAGACCAACCAGTAAACCAATAGTCAAGCTCTCTCTTCACTACAACAGACCACTACATCACTGCAGACATCCCTGTGCTCCCTATATACAGTGACTGTGTTACTGTCACCCAGGACTGCCTTACAGTACCAACAAATGAGCCACTTTAGTTCAGAATAGACATTTCTTAAAGTAATGCACTTAAATCACATTTTAAATATATCAAAATGTTTTTAGAATGAGATTATGCTACTGCAGTAGAAGATGACTTCTACAGATTTTAACACATTTTAACTGACAGGTTCCAAGAAATTTGAGGAACTTGACAAAAAGCCTCAAAACCACAGGGCAGTTTTGCGTAGTAAAACGAAAATGCACAAACAGGTTTGGTTTGGTTTGGTTTAACCTTAAATTCCTGCAGGGTAAAAGGAGAACTAAAGTAAGCAGTCAACTCTCAAATTACATAAAAGGTATTTAGGCAGTTCTGGATAGTAAATACAGGGAGCTGGTCCACATTGGGACTGCTAACAAACTCAAAATAAAGTCAGGTAAATGGAGATACATACAAAGGACAGCCTTTTGCTGTCACATAAACTTAATTATTTATTCATTCGTGGTACAAAGCCCCATTTTTTGACTGTCTGCAACGTACAACAGACGCTGCCTTTTGATTTGTGGATGGCCGTTGCAGTTATAACATGTTGGACCAATCGAAAGCGCTGTTTGCGGGGCGTGAAACGAACTAAAAGCTGATTGGCGCGGTCACATCAGAGAGGCCTTGTTTGATAATACCTAGAAGAGGGCGGAGGACGTTTTTCACTCTGTTTTCATTCAGTCGCGCTTTTGGAAATAAACACAGGGATTCGACTCTACACTTCTATTTTTAAATAAATCCAAGGTATGACTTTTTAATACACAACATGAGACTTTAAGTAGTGATGTTAGTGTGTTTTATATAAACTGCGTATCTCAAGCTAAAGTTAGCCACTTAGCTTGTTCGCTAAGCTAGCTAACGCCTAAGACTGAAAATGACAGATTTTCTTTTATTGACGCGTCTCACTATTTTAGTTCATTTTGTTTGCTGCTTTATTAAAGGTATCATAATTTTATCAAAGGCGTGAAATAATACTATTACGTAGTAATCACTAAACGTTTATACTGCAAATAATAGCAGCTAGCGAAACAACGTAGTTAGCTTCTGATTCAACACAGAGGTATTTATGGAATTTCGACTCTGGTTAAAATGTCTAAAATGTTAAAACTTGGATTCAACAATTCCACTTACGGAAGGTTCATTGGAAAAACGTTTATGTTTCGCGATGCTTTTGTTCTCTTTGCGAAAGCTAAAACAAAGTAGAGATTTCATAACATGTTCATAACGTATACATATTCGTAAAACTAATCATTCGATTAGGTTTTACAAATATAGTTTTTATTAATCTTAAGTGGAGCTTGTCCAGTTTAGAGTTATCTGGCTACATTATATGGTAAAGTACAGCTAAAAACATCGTATTTGACAACAGTTTGTCATATCTCTATGTTATTGCGTCATTTAGAGGCGTTCATTTCTGGATTACAAGTGTTGAATTTCAATTTAGACCATTTAATTTACATGCGGAAATGTTTTCCCATTATTATTAAGAGTCTTTCTTGTGTTAATTGTAATCATTGTAACTAAACTCAGATATAAATGTAAAAGAACTCATGTTCATCGTTCACATTATGTAGTACACTCTAATACTACAAATTGTGATAAAGTGGAGGTGCAACTTGCCCTGCCTCAGTGTACAGGAATTTGAGAAATGATCTGATAAAAATTAAGACCCATAGAATGGTACTGTTTAATCATTTCCTGTCAGTTAACACATTCATATCAGGAGTTTTTACTTTACAAAGTATTGTTTTTTTTCTGCTCCACTGGTTGCTTTGGGTTAAAGGAGTTGCTGAATGTATATTTCAAATTTACACAAGCAAGCATACTTTCTGGAAAAGTAAATAACCTTAAATCAACATCAGTTCATAATTTTTACCTCTGGCTGCTGCTCCGGTCATTTAAAGTTCTTGGGATTTTCTGGAAATGTTTTGCATTGAGTCAATTATTTACCTTTTCATTGCTCTCAGGCATGTATTTGTGTTTTCTTTAACCATGCTTTCATTCCCATATTTTACTCTGGTTTTGCTCCAGATAGTAAAAACAAGATTGTTGAGTTTCCATCTGTAGCAGAAGTAGTGTTTTGGATAAGATCTTGTTTTTTGTGTGTGTCTTGTTTTTGTAGAGATGCACCAATTCACTTTTTTTCACTTCTGATACTGATATAAATATCTGAGGTTTAGTATTATCCAACTCCGATCTGATGCAGAAAAACTGAGCTGATTACACTTGAAATGTTTCTTTTTTTTAAACACAGACATATATGTACTGAAATACAAGTTTGTTTGATAACTCTGCACCAGTAAAGCACACTTCTATCCACCTATCTATCTATTTTACATGGACAAACATGTAAAAACAACTTCAACTTGTTCAGTCAGTGATTGGTGCAACTGTATTGTTTTTTTAAAGATCTGCTCATTTGTGACTTGACAGATTTTATATATTTGTATTTTCCTAAGTTGGTAACAAAGTGTCCACATGCTACATCTTTCAATAACTTTGCAAGATGAAACTTTTTTGTTTTTTTTTATTGTGCAAAATGTTATACCGATGTTATAAACATTTCATTTAAATCGCAGCCCTAAGAGATTTTTACGTCCTTTTCATTCCTGTTTCTCTTCAGTTTTTGAACGCTGTGAACACCTCCGCCCCCGCTCCTCCCTCTGCGAGTGTCTTCAGGGTGATGTCAGCTTCCTGCCTTGTGCGCCTGGTCAGGTGCAGCGGTTCTAACATCAGTCGTAGTGGTTTGCTACAGAAGGCTTTCGATCCGCGGCCCTTTCAGCTTGATAGCCACAAAACAGTGTTCCCATTGTTCTGCAGACAACTTTATGGACCTTCTGGGAGGCGATACAGCAACACGCGCTTCGATCCAGACAGCAGCGGCCGCCTTACGACCTGGGACTCCTTTGGGATTTGGGATGATCGCATCGACGAGCCCATCATGCTCCCCCCTAGCATTCGCTATGGCAAACCCATTCCCAAAGTTAGCCTGTCTAAGGTAGGGTGTGCATCCCTGATCGGCCAACGCAAGGAGAATGAGGACCGGTTCCAGGTCTCCCAGATGAACGAAAACACCCTGTACTTCGCTGTGTTTGACGGCCACGGCGGCTCAGAAGCAGCCGACTTCTGCGAAAAATACATGAAGAAATTCATCCAGTAAGGGAGTCACACATATAGACACGTTTCATGTTATAGTCTACATCTGGAAATACTCGCACATGCACACAACGCTGGAGGGCAAAAAGATGATTCTTTTACCGACCATTCACAGCTGTGGTGCCTCGGTAGAAACCTGGAGATACAGGTATTATTAATTTGGTACAATGAGCCACAGCAAAGAGATAATAGCAAAACATTGAAGAACATCTCAAAACCACTCATATTATTCTTTTCTCTCATTTTTTTTGTCGGCTACGCTACACACAAACCTGTTGCCATAGCAACTGACGACAACGCCATTATATGTATCAGAATTCAACACCAAAAAACATGCAAAGAACAGAACATTCAGTCCATTACATTGTTACGTTTTTAAGCTTGATGTTTATTTTGAGATTATTAATAAGTGATGGCTGTGGAACATTAGCCAACGCTGCTCTTAGCTAATCTAACGTGGCGGTGGCTGATTAACTGATTTAAACACCTACTCTGCTGATGATCTCTCAGAGTTGGTGTGTGTGTTTATTATTTAACTGAACGGAAACACACCGAATTCCACCGCACATCTACATGTTACAGTTGTCATAGTCAAGCTAGCATAACTGTCCTACTT